GTGATGTTAAATTTTGCGTTAGTCAAGAGTAAAACAGATCAGTATAGGAATGGTCCCAGAGTCATGTTAGCTATGACGGGTTTTATTTCTTGTCCATTTTACTTGCTGCAAATATATATTGGTTGTTGGATCAGACAAAAAATTAGTTGCCAAGTTATTGTTCAGCTACACTCTTAAATCAAAAGTTCTGCGGAAAAAAACATTATCCCGAGAATTTTTCTTCGTTTCCCTTTTTTTCGTATTTGACATGTTGTTCAAAAGATTAGCTGAAAAAATCAACAAACACGTAACGGAAACAGAGAACTGATAAAATTAGCTTTTTACTTGAGCTTCCGTTGGAAAGCTCGAGTCCAAAAATGCAAGCCGTTCTTCGTCGTATTTGGTCGCCAAATGTGTAGTTTTCGCACCCTGCAACTGGGGATGAGAATCGCGACAACCTCAGAGCCATTTCTCGCAAACAACATAATTTATGCAGAATGCCGCCGTTTTGTGAAGAAATCTCCGGAAAGAATAATGCCTCATACGTTCGTCTCACATACAAATGCACACGCCATTCGTGGTAGGCCCACATCAAAAGAGGTAAAATTTCCGCACAGTCCCATCCTATATTATGCATTCAGTTCTTGAATAGAGAAAACAATGACAAAAACAATACATTGCCATTGGGAAAACAGATTTGTTTTACAATAGCATGGGGCTGTACGGAAATTTTACCACATTATCTCTGCTATTGTTGTACTATCATTCGATTGACCGATGTTACGCAAATTTCGTTAACCGTCACACTAGGACATATTTTCGTTAACCGGTACACCAGGATATAGCCGAATGTTAGTTTGCACTGTGCATGGAGTTGCACGTGCTTGGTAGAAGATATGTTAAATTCTCTTAATGACTGTGATATACTAGAAAAAACTTATAAATTTGACTAATGTACATGAACATAATGAAGTTCTAGTGTCAGTAAAAGTACAGGAATTCAGATCTCGTTATGCTAAGTATGTATATTATAATTGTAGTCGTGTTGTATGTGAATGTCATGGCTACAAACGTGATCGTGAACCAAGCAGAGTACCTGTGAACATGTTAAAACGTCTCTCTCAGAAAAGCAAAAAATTACAGAGTTATGTATGGAGCCGATTGAGGAAAAACGTACCAAAATCATCGAAAATTCATCGTCTTATTAAAAATGTTGTAACACGAAGGAAAAGTAGACACAAAACAAGGGTCAGGCTTGTACAAAAAATAAGAAGGAAACCAATTTTTAGAACAAAAAAAGTCAATTCTACAATGAGATATGTTAACAAGTCAAATAAGCTAAACATGGAGAGAAATATTTCAAATACTCAAGGTTGTTTTCGTGTAAGTTCCCTTATAGTGAGTACAAGAGTCTAACTCATAAAAAGGGTTTCACCTATCTTTCACCTAGATTTTTTCAAGAACTTTTACCTATTGTACAATTACAATTTACTATAATATTTTAACAGCAGCGTTAAATTATCATTTCATGTCATAATGATTTAGACTGGATATCAAATCATTTCGAAGATAAGTAGGACTTTCAAGGTTTCAGATATACTTTTACTTTAGTCGCTTTTAACTTTTGGACGCTTCTTAAGAGCTAATGTCAACATGCATCAGACAAACAGCGGCAAGTCTCCCAAATTCGTTTTCTCTCCTACTTTCATATTTTGTAGCCCATTATGTCCTAATAATTGTGGTGTGGTTTTTTTGCGAAAATATATTTTAGTTTTCGAGAAATTATGTTTTTCGTTCGACCGCTCAAATATGCAAATTTTCACCCTAAATATTACCCGAGTTTTGTGACCTCATGTAACGAATTTAATTGACGGTATCTTCTCCGGTATTTTTGTCGGCATAATCCTTTGTTTCATTATCTAAACTTAATCCCCTGTCATCATTGAAGCTGGCAAAGAAATATTTATTTTTTGGTGAATATTTTTGTCCGACATACTTTTTCTATGTCGAAAAGTAGCATCAAAACAAAAACAGTTTTAACAATGACCAATATGACAGAATCTACTAAGCTTCAAGCTTTTAAAAGACCAAAGGATGGTTATAAGGTTACTGTAAAAATCTCCTTGTGTATTTGTGTTGTTCTATCGTGAGGCGAACTCAAAGTCCGGCAAAATTTACTTGCTAGCGACTATGAAATATACATGGTGTGCCTACTTGTTGCCACCGTTTACTGGCGTAAATCATTACAGTTTGAAAAGAAATCCAACATAACACTCTTACCTTGTTTATTTATGATTTTGTTAGCTGTTTCGATGATCAAGTTATGCTCTACCACATTTTAGCCAGATTTAATTTGCAGTTTGTAAATCTTCGCCACATTATTATATTAGTTGCATGACAAGCGTGACACATAAATTCAAAGATGAATCAACCTCCGAATTTCCAAGAGATGGGTTTTTCCCCCCTCTTTTTATATCTATAAAAACCTTCCAAGAATTACTGTATTCAGAAAACTAAAATGTCCAGATCCATCAACGAATCCTTTGCCGGCGGAAGGCCCCTAAGAGTTTTTATTCCCTGAGAATCACGCTTTGCTCTCCTGCCAGAACACTATAAATTTCAATAGCGTTGAAGCAACAACCCGCTTTGAACTGCTACGCTGCGACTGAAACAACGATTAGTGACCACGTAAGTAACATATTGTAGTATTGTCAATTCAACATAAAAAAAATCTCCATACAGGGTAAATATTCATTTGTGTTGGTATCAATTACTGCGTGACCAGCTTCTGATATAAAGATATAGATATTACACAACGTAAAACCTGGCCTCCCGGCAAAAAGTAATACCCAAGCGTAATATAATAACCGAAACAGCTTATTGGTCTTATAAAATCATAAATAAACAAGGTAAGGGTGTGATATATTAGATTTTTTTACAAATTGTAGTGATTCATGCCTCGATATGCCGATAAACGGTGGCGACAAGTAAGTAAATTTTGCCGGACTTTGATTTCGTCTCACGATAGAACAACAAAAAATACACATGGAGATTTTTACAGTAACTTTATAACCATCCTTTTGTCTTTTAAAAGCTAGGAGTTCAGTAGATTCTATCATATCGGTCATTGTTAAAACTGTCTTTGTTTTGATGCTACTTTTCGACATAGAAAAATAGAAAAAGAATGTCGGACAAAAATATTCACCAAAAAATTAATATTTCTTTGCCAGTTTCATTGATGACAAGGGATTAAGTTTAGATGATAAAACAAAGGATTATGCCGACAGAAATACTGGAGGTCGAGTAAATTTATAACATAGCTAGTAAATTTGTCTAATCAATTCAATTGCGCGAGCGTGCTTCATATTCCTATTGTGCACGCTCATGACGTCAGCAAACATATCCCTCGAGTAAAAAATTTTCCATCGGGTTGAAAATGTAAAATATTTCAATTTTTTCGATGGATGCCGACATCCTCTCTTAAGTAGGTCGTTGGTTTTAGCGAGATTTCTGGGATGTAAGTTTTGTTTCAAGATCCCAAGTCTCTCTGCGATTTATCCTGTAGGAGTTTTCTTCCTTTATCTCCTACTGCGAATTTCCCCATGTTATGTGATGTTAGCAGCCTCAAAATTTGAATAGAAGAAGCTCGAGCTCCTTCCCTTACAGTAGCACTGAAAGATAGTTTTGGCAGTCGCTGACTCATCAATAATTCAGGAAGCAATATTTATTACTAGAGCGTTCGGGTTCTCGCCTCTAGTCAGATATGCTAGAAATTTCTTCGCTCTCGCGGCGGAAATATCGTTGCAGGCTATACAAGCAGGTTTCACTAGATTTAAATTTGTTAACCAGCCATGCATTTTCCGCAGCCTCAAGTTTTGAACTTTTTTCTTCGAGGCTATCAAGTCTCCCCGGGAGGCTTTTGAAGTTGTCATTCATCTTCACGAGATCGTTCAGTCTCAATTGGATCGGTCTCGATTTGTTATTGAAGAGGGATTCTATCTGACTACTCGATTGGCTTAAATGTGTTCATAAAGCAAGAACAAAGGGGAAGAACGAAAAGAAAGCAAGACCAAAAAAGCATCACACGATAGAAACTGTCAATATCTTCATCTAAAAGGGTATTCACGCGGAGCCAAAAATTTGCACTTTACCATCTTTACTGACCGCAGCTTCCTATATGTAATAATCATGCAGTGCTTTTACACTAAACTATGGTATTTTGCTGAGCAAGTTATGCCATTAGGGTTAGTTTGAGAAGAGTCTGGGTGGTTTTCGAAAGGAACTCGACTCTCCTGGTCTCGATTGCATGAGTAATGATTAGGAGTTAACTGAGTTAATTATGGTTACGCTTCAGGGAACCTTTCGTTAACTCCACTGCGTTAAGACCACTTAGCAAGCGGCTTCTATCGGAAGGTAAAATTAATAGTTCATACACATGTAAAGAGCTTTCCATTTCAATTTTTCATCACAAATGTTTTTTCTTTACGCAGTAAAAGAGACAAAGGTAACATATCCTAATCAAGGGGATTAGGTAAAGTTCAATTTTTGTCTTATCTTTCGATAGTTTTCTTAGAAGCATATTGTTTACAAACATCACCATTGAATTTCTCAGAATTGCTACTTATGTATGCACCGAACAAATATGTCTTTGTTCATTATTATGTATAGGGCATAGATGAGTTTCTTAGAAATACTGGAAAAATTTAAAGTGCTTCATGTTGACGGGTGTTTTTAAATAATTTATGGCGAATCTCTGAATTAAGATGCAACAAAATTGAAACGCTTTCCAAACCCCTTATATATCACACGATTTAGGGATACAAACGAGTTCTTGCTGCGCGTAAATTTACATACAAAACTGGTGAGCTTTGTCTTTGATCCACGACAGAATCTACAGAACTACTGTTGGTCCTCATAACAGGTTGAAGAATTCTAAAAATAACCAAAAAATATGTGATAAACACGGTCCTGTTCGGACAAGTTTAAGAAACAGAGGCTTCGATTTTCTCCTGAGTCATTCAATGGTTACGCGGTTGAGAGAGGAGATCCGTCTTCCAGGAGAGGGATGGTCAGAATGGGAGAAGGCTATGGTCCCCCAAGATGACCAGAGCAGCAATCTTGAAAAACGTGGAGAGAATCATGTTGGTTCCTTTTGCTCGAGCATACGATCCGCATTCCCTGGAAAGGCACAGTGTTGTGGAATTTATGAGTGGCGAGCCAAAGGTACCAAGTACGGACAACCCAATCACGTTGTTTATGTAGGATGTACTTGCAGAGGTAACGAGAGATCCTTAGGAGAGGAAGTTCTTGAATACTGCAAAAACGGATTGCACAAAGGCAGTCTCATTAATAGTGCGTTGGCCAGAGGCTATGAGTTATGGGTTCGCGTCAAGACCGCAGAATGTAACGAGCCTAGGAAATATGCAGAAGAGATGCAAAACGAACTTCTGGCTCTGTATAATTATGCTTGGAACTCTAGAAACAACGCCATACGTGATTTACTGCGGCCGTAAACAATTAGCGAGGGAATTCAGAGAAAATTGGTTAGGTGAAATGGTTGCCATGTACCTGCGTGATATGAAAAGTTTTTTTAGTTTCTGGTTTGCCCCGAATTTTCGCATTTCGTTTTCTAGGAATGACTTCGAAATGGCGGATTTCGTTATTGAAGGACATGTTTGTGAATGCATGTTAGTCTATTCATATTTCCATGACAACATTTGGTAATAACAAGAAATGTATTAAAGTACATGGTTTGAACCCAAGCCTATTACTACTTCACAAGCCTATTACTACTTTACGACATTAACTGACCAACGTTAAAGACAAAGACGAACCCAACAACAGACAGGGAGCGATTTATAAGATCGAATGCTCCGACTGCCAGGTCTCCTACATTGGTGAGACTGGTAGAAACCTTAACACACGACTAACTGAACACAAACGAGCAACTAGAAATGGCGATGAAACAATCACATTTCTGAACATCACGTACCGACAAACTGATCACAGAATCGACTGGGACTCTGCTAAATGCTTAACTTACAGTACAAACTATTTTCAACGACTGACTTTGGAAAGCTGGTTTACCAACTTAGAACAGACGTCTCTCAACAGATGTCAACAACTACCGGCACCTTACAAACGACTCATTAACGACGTGAACAAACCGACAAACAGACCGACCACCAGCAGACGGATCGAAACCGACCAATGACTGTTAACAAACTCTACACGAGTCTTCCAGCCAATCACATCTCGGCTAAACAGACCAATCACGTTCAACAGACCAGACTTTATAACATCATCGACTGACAACTACTCTCTACTTGACTCTGAAGATGACTTCCGCACAGGTTGTCGAAACGTCGGTCACCAACAACAGTTCTTTTCAGAACTACACTCACCCGGACGATCACACTATACGAACTAAGAAATGTATTATAGCAAATTAGAGGATGAATTTTTCTTCTGGGAAAACTGAAATATAATTTCAATAACACCTCGTGTATGTCGCAAATAAATCGCACGCTATGACTAAGAAATGCTTGTTTCCCTAAACGTAATTGGCGATAATGTTCGACATCGTGAGATTGCACAGAAAGGGGTGTTCAATCAACTCAACTATACTTAAACCTTTGCAAAATCACGAGAGATCTGCATTTACACCATAATCTCGCAGTCGTTTAAATGCTGAAAATTCGACTCAGAAGTAGACCTCTCCCGGCTCCTAAATATATCAATATATATCTCTGTTCATAGTTTATTGTGTGGTCCGTCGCCATGTTGATGTTCCAAGCAAATCCTGTGGGATTTGAACGCTTTTGTTATGTAAACAATTTCTTTTGTCCCTCTAAATTTGCATACTCATTGACCACGTGAGTAAACTGCACTCCACAGTGGTTGCATCGGTCACGATAAAACGCAAACCGCAGACCATGCAGACTGTGCAGACTGTGCAATTTTTTTTTGCTTTTTTTTTAAACTGTGACTTACATATGTTTAAGGTGTGAACACCTTTTCCTTACTCTTGATAACGTTGGAACTTTTTCCAATCATAGGAAACCACATAACGAAATTTTACGAGATTATTTCGGAGCCCACGTTACCTAGCAAAACAAAATCGCACGCTCAAGTTTTTCGAGCACATGGAGATTAGCCCAACGCGCCAAGATGATTGCGGATGTAATTTGTGTGGACAGTGACGCTGATTTAAAGGTAACAGCAAGCTATAATAGTCGAAATTCTCCAGCGAAATAAGCGCAGTCTGCACGTTCTGTAGTCTGCGTTTTAGCATGACCGGGTTGTATGGATGCGTGTGAAAGCCGTTAATACGATTTGAAATGGATTTTCAGGAAGCGGATTCTGGATTCACTTTTTAGCGGGATTCTGGATTCCAAAAGCTGGATTCTGGATTCCAATGCACAGTATTCCGGATTCCACGAGCAAAAGCTTCCTGGATTCCGGAATCTGGATTACCTTACATGGGGCGATATATCGTTTTAGATTTCAAGTTCCTTTGCTAATGTCTCTTTTCCCGTTGAAACAATATGCGCTCTCAGATTAAATAATCCAGCCAACTGATCTGCCTCCTGCCAGTTAGGATTTTCAATCTCTTTATGTTCGTAATGTAACATTGACTCATAAAAGCTCCTGGGAATGAGCCAACAAAGTATGTGTATGTAAAAATGATAAATTTTCTTGGTAACTTCTTCGGATTTGACGAAAAAGGGAGAACGATAACCATAATAGTCAGTGTGATTTTCATGGATACCGGAATTGCCTAAGATTCTGTTCTAACGACTGACATAGAATTGTCGCAGTTCTTGACACCTGTCAGTGTTCGGACGCTTTTCTTTGTCCCACAGAATACTTTTAATAATTGGTCGTTTCCAAGAAACCAAATACTATTCGATGAAAAACTTATCAAAGGAAAAGAAAAGCCAAAATTAAAAAAAACAAAACGCAATCATTGCGATTTTCCTTTAGGACATCAATTTCCATTACAATATCACTAAATACGACTCTACTGATGTTATGATTGCCGTTGAAACGGACTTAACCCCAGCAAAATCAACAGAACGTATTTCAAAACACATTACAGCATTCATAGACAACTTTAGTTTGTACAATAGAAAATTAAATGCTACGCCATGAGGCTATAAGTTTACCACAAATGCTATTAAAAGAGAAAATAAATAAATTTACTGAAGAGAGGGAAAAAATATTTGGGTGCAATTACTACAATTTATATTTGATATTTGTATCGAAATCGATTCCCTGAGTTTTACGTCAAGAGTAATACTAAACAGTAGAGGATATAATTCTTTCCACACGGTATTATCTGTCAGAAGGATTTTCGTCTACGCGGAACTCGTATATTTTCTGTTAACCGAAACTCTTGTTTAAACACTGTCAGTATGTCTTTATCGCCTCGAAAAAGCTTCTGCCAAAAAAACTGAAGAAAGCTTAGATACAGGGAAGCATTTATAATCATTAACATGAGGTCTACTATGGTCATTGGCTTTGTTATACCATGCTCCACTGTGTAAAACTTGAAGGCGACCTGACTTGTAACGACTAAAAACTTGCAAAGATTGTCCAAGACAAAAACAGACAGAGTTAAACAATAGGCACCTCTGGAAATAGCTCGAAAGCCTTTATCCTCTGAAGGCGGAAATGTAAAATTCAATTGAAATAACAAATACAATGTCCACAGTTTGGAAACCACCACTAAACATTCGACGTGAATCTTCGCGTTTCTATTGTTGACCATGATTAATACATCATAAAGGACAACGGAACCTGCAGTTGTGTTGAGAGACCAGAAGTAAGGCTTTTTGATGATACTCCAGAAGATTTTTTTGTTCCTTGCTGGCCTTAACCTTGGTAACATATTTGTGTTGAGCAAACAAAACCACACGGTGGATGTTATGATCGAGCACACGAGCCATATCGTCTTCCAGCAGTACGGGTCGCAGTGAGGTATATTGTAAACTGTAAATCCTTCGCAGTCCACACTCGTTGAGTCATGGTACAACGTGCAGTCAACCTCGAATATTGAAAACATTACCAGTGTAAATAATCTAAACAGCTGGAAAACAATGCAAAACTGCGGAAAGTATGCGGATGCCAGTCTGAAGAATCTGCTTTGACGCTAGAAAGGGAATGGTCAGAAAAGTGTAAAAGACATCAATCGTTTACATACACAGTAAATGGTTTGAACCCGGGTGTAACATGTAGTTTGATCGTCCGGGTGAGTGTAGTCCTGAAAAGGACTGTTGTCGGTAGTGGTGATTAACATTACAAACGAACCGAACAGAACGACCTAACTTCACTAACGGATCCAAACGGACCAATCACGACTGACCTACGCCACTTGAGTCTTACAGCCAATAACATCACGGCAAAACTGACCAATCAGTGTACACAAACCGGACTTAGAACATTCGACTGACAACCTTTCACTTGACTCTGATGATGACTTCCGTTCAGGTTGTCGAAACGTCAGTCACCACTATCGACAACAGTCCTTCTCAGGACTACACTCCCCCGGACGATCAAAATACACTATTACATACTTTACTTTGTTAGGCATTCTTTTTTTCTGTATTTAACAAATAGGGAAGCCTCGACTGTGCTCTTTTCGGTTGTAAAACATGCCAGAGGCGGCTAAAGAAGATTTTGCTTTGCAGTAATCTACCGCGTCTTGTTGACGAATAATTAGCCGACTGCTTATAGTCTTTGCGCACGTGGAGCATTACATTGTTTTCTTTATAGGGCGTTAGACAATGGAAACCATGCGGTAGTATTTATTCTTAATAACAGTTGCTTCCTTTACAAGTGATATTGTGAGAAAAGCTTACATGTTGATTAGCTTTAGAAGTCAAAAATTATACGTGCGAATGCATATTAAACCATATTACAGCCTTACACCTATAGCAGTGTTTTCGTGTAATAAGACAGTCACAGGCAGCTCACCGAGCTTTCAGGGAGAGATCATTGCCTTTTACTACATTTCATACAAGTCAATTTTGAATGTGATGAATTCATCATGTATATAGGTTTTCAGAATCTATCGGCTTTTTCTTTGGAAAAATATTGTGGAATTTTAGACAATAAATCAGCCATCTTTGCGTGACCAAAATTTCTCTAGGCACAAGACTTCTCTGGTTTCTATTTCTTAAAGCGCTCTTGCTGGCAGAGCTCGACTGTTGACCCAAAAATCGACCAAAATATCGACATCGTTATAATTCCATACTTCTATACTTCTCCATCAAGGGAAGGAGACAGAAATATTTTAAATCGGATGATATCAACTTTCCGAGTCAATGGTTAACTGGAATGTGCTTGCAAATCGGTTTAGGTCACGCTATAATATGCAAAAGACCGATCGAGTGACTCTTTAGTCAGCCGCTGGCAGAGTTAGAAGCAAAGTGAGAACTCAAGAACTGCTAAAATGAACTTTCGATCCAAGCTCTCTGGTCGCACTCTATCGGTAACATTGAATTTGAAAATTTCTTTGGAATACGAACGTAGTTAGACAATGTTTTGCCTACCGAAGCAAATCTGCACAAACAGACAGATTTCTCATTCCGACTGGAATTTGTTTACACCACATCTACTAGATTCAGGAAGAAGAGATTGTGAAACCCTTATAGCAATTTTCAAATTTACTTACTTCAGGGTTGTTTTCATTACCAAGAAGTCCTCCATTTTCAAGGTCTCTGTTCATACCGAAATGAGACTGGTATCAGGTCCAGCTGGCTTGTACTCAAAGAGAGTTTGTCTTAAAGTTTGGAGTTTAAATTAGTCGGCAATCCACGGCAGTCGGCAGTCAGTCGTCCTCAAACTGATAGGCTGAATAAAAATTCACTCTAAAAAACATTGCTCTACGTTTTTGCATTTTGCTAAGGCAATACTGTTATTCCGTGAAACCGGGAGCTCTTTCGCTATTGCATGCATTGTTCGAGAGTATTTACTAATTTCTCAAGTAGATCAGACCACGTGGTAGACCACAGTCGCGAGCAGACTGGAAATGACTCTACAACCCGCTCAAATTTAAAGTAAAAATTATCAAGATCGTGCAATCGAGACAGCATTGGGGAATTTTTCCGTAAACGTGTGTTTCTGAAGAACTTTGGCTAACTGCTCAAAATCGAGATTAAATTGATCTTAAATCGTGGCCGAGCAAATGTATTATTTAAGCGTTAAGTGAAGTATTTAGGTAATTTGTTTTGTTACGATTTAGTAATGTGTTTATTTTTAGCATTTAGTTAAGATTTAAATATTAAGTCCGTAGCTACTTGGGTTTTGTCTATCGCGATGATTTTCTTGATTGTGACTGTCTGCCTGATTGTCAGATTCCTTGAACTCGAATATCGTTTCCTAAAGAAATCGGGCTGTGTGCCTCTTTAAGAGCCCGTTTTGATTTTTCTCTTATCTTTCAGGGACGAAAATTAAAACTGAATTTTGATAATCACTCAGGCAGGAAACCGCGGGTTAATCAAATAAACTTCCAACTGAATAATCACGTAAAGGAAGAGAAATGATCATAAAACACATACTTTTTATCTCAATCAAACGTTGCCATTATTTATTTTCATTTCTTGGAGTGAGTTGTAGTTCTCGTCTCACTTGAACAAGTTGTAAATACATCAAGCAGTTGAAACATATTCTTTGCTCATTTGATGTTAGGTGAAGACAGAGTGAGGTCATCAGCATATTGCAGCAACTTAGCGAACGTCCTTTCTGCTTAGAACAGCGACTGTTAAAAAATTTCAGCTGCAATAACAAATTGATATGGTAGTAACGGGTCTGCTTGCTTGACCCCTCTCTGTTTTTCAAAATAAGATTTGAGATATCATTTTTCAATTCACACATGCTGACTTCTCTATTAAAAGTTTATGTCCATCTGATAAGGCTTGGCCAGAACCGAAAGCATCTAAGCATGTTACAATTGAAATAGAATACCTGTCAGTGCTATCAAACTATGAGTAAGCATGTGAATGATTTAGTTCGTTGTTTTGTATAATCTCATAACATCTTTAACTAATCTTGCCGCTTCACAAATGAATCCAGCTGCCCTAAACATGACCTGTGTGGTTAATATGTACTATCTTCAGAAGAACTTTGATTACTCTTGCCACCATTACTTTGGAAACAAGTTTGGTTTCTACCTTAGTGAAAGGTATCACTCTCCAGTTTTTAGATAACTTCTAACTTATCCTTTCTTTTTACTTTTGCTTTTGAAGGGAGGACATTTTCTTATCGTCGAACGACTCAATGAAAAATATGATCACAAGTTCACCAATTAGGTAACTGGAATTCCATTTGTTTTAGGTGTTTTGCCCAATTTTCGGGTAAGCTTTCACGTGTAGTGTTAAGTGACTTCCGATCTAAACAAACCGCGAACTGTGTCCAAACTTCAGCGTCGGTATTTTGTCGTAAATAATTTCTCGTTGTCGAGAAGCCTTTCTTCTTTGTTTTATCAAATGTTTAGTTACTTGTCAAGTAAGTTGTTATTTCGCAACTACTAAAGTTGATGCGAAGAATGTAGCAGGAATTGAACGGGGAGAAATCTATTTACTAGGATTTCAATATGCAAATACACTTTCATAAAGCTCATTGCTTGTATTTAGATAGGTCTACATTTCAACAGTGATTGTGTTTTTAGGCTCTCTGCCGAGGTTTGTCATTAAATTTAGGGCCAAATTTGTCCCGTATCACATGTTTTATGCCTTGAATATTATAACTTTGAAACTGAATCGCAACAAAACTATTGGGGCCGGGAAGCTCAAGGATGTAACTCTTTATCGAGGAATTTCTATAGAATTTTCGACGTCACTTATCTCGGCATTATGTAGACGCTTCCACTCAAAGTCAAAAGGAATGGGATTGAGCACATTTTAATGATTTACGACAGCTTTGAACCCCATTGTGGTTGAATGATGTCGTCTGAGTACTTATTCAGAGGGTGTACTCGAACTACTTAAGGTTTCCAGCCTGAACAACCTACAGTTTTTCTTACTTCTTTTAGTCGAGTTAAAAAACATCATGGCTGTTGAGAAGATGAACGTCTTTGTTTATGTAGAACGCTAACAAATGACGCTGTCAAGTTTCAATGTTCAATAATAAGGACGTGCCACGCGCACTTCCCTCATTCGTGCTTTGCAAACTATCTTAGTTAAAAAGTGTAGGCTTAGTACTCATTCAGAGGGTATACTTGAACTATAAGGTTTTCGGCCTAAATGTTCCATACCTAGTTTCCTACCTCTTCTTCATTTAGTAGGGTCGCACCACACATGGTCCGAACACAAAATTTCAAAGTTTAAGGGAAATGTTCATGCTGTATCTAAGGGAAATTCTATGCATAATAACGTGGAAAGTTTGGCCAGATTATATGATTAACGCCTTGTGTAGGCGGCGTATCTAGAATCATGACTAGATAATAGTACGTTGTTGTAAATACGAAAGTGCCGTGGAATTCTATTCTAGGTTTAACAAAAGAAGCTTGTAAGGAGTTGGTGTTTTGGGGCCAAAATGTTGACTCTCTTAATTCACGTTAGCTGTGACTACCCTTCTCTCAGCCGGCCAAATTAGATTAATCTAATACGTCAGATCATGTATGTGCATCCTTTATTCTGAATGAGAACAAATTTTTTCATGAAAATTGGCCTCCTACTGATGGGGTAAAACAGTACCATAGTGAGAGAGCTAAAAGCTGTAGAGTTGGCTTTGATCAGTTTTGCTCCCAGCCTTTTAGGCAAACAGGTTGCATGGTTTACTGATATCGCGAATTTTGTTATCACTGTTTATTCTTGAGTAAGGTTATAGAGTTTTAGGATTTAGCATTGACATTCTTAGTGTTCGTGCTTCAGGAAATGAAGGAAATTTGCCGTAAGCGAGCAGGAGCTGTCCTATTTTCCTGTCAATCCTAGAATCTAGCAGATCAAGTTCCTCGGTGAAAACCGACCCTCATAGTAATAAGTGGGCTCACGAGTCAGCGGATCTAATTTTCCTCCATGGGTAAATGATGCCACTCAGAGAATTTTTGGGGCTGAGAGGGATATAGGGAAGAACCATTGTCTACTGAAATTCTCAATTCTTATACATATTTCAAACCTGAAATTAAAAAAATTCCTTGCCAAAATCCTGGAATAGAAATTTGTTAAGGGCATTTGAAGGTGTTTGCTCTCCTACATCTACAAGTTATAATACAAAACTGTTTTATTAAGGAGCAAAATAAGCCCATTGAAAGGGGCCTATCCATTCATGATGGACATAGTCGTTTTCAGAGGTTTTGATAATTCTGGCAGATCCTTACAATATTACCTCTGTTCTAGATATTATCATATATAATTTAAAAAGGAATAGTTAATATTTACTTTGACAGCAGGTGCCCCGCTCAAATCCAGTTTAAGAAGAGACGATAGTAGACAAAGAAGAAGTAAAAAACACAACAAAAAGATTCAAAATCGGTCGACTCCTCGGCTAATCCATTTAAGCCATAAAGGGTACATAATAATGATAAATAATTGTTCCGAAAGACTGTCGGTAAACCAAACCTGCTTTCAATTAGGCAAATGTATATCAAACACATCGCCCTGTTGCTTTAAATAGAAATTTTTGCAGGTGTATTAAAATTGAAAAAATACATTATCTATACACACAGATGAGAAGTAGAAACAATTGTGTCCGTTAAAAATAATTGTGACGATTGAATCTCAATGGTCGTGGGTAAAGCTAACTTAACGCATAGGAAAGCCTCTTTTTTTTAAATATCAACATTTTTTCCAAAGTAAAACAGAATAAAATTATCATACACTGATCTCTGACAGCTCTTCATCGTTTCCTAACATTTGAAAAGGTAAAAACTACGAGAAATTGGCATTTGAATCTTTTGACTGATAACAATATAATAATAATAATAATAATAACGATAAAAATAGAAATGATGAGCACTATAACCACCAGCTGTCCGTTGCGGCCTACAAATAATGTTTCTAAACTTCCTTATATGACTAAATAAGAGACCGAAAAAAAAAAAACAAAGAAAACGGACTACTTTCATAAACAGCCATGCATCCTTATAGATTTGACCATTATTAAAAAACCGTCTTCTTCAATAAAGATCGTCTTGCAATTGGACATGCAAATTATCGCTCAGTTACTGCTGCTCTTTCACGTTAAACATCGCATCATGCCTTCTAAGATCATAGTCACAACATAAAAAGGTTCTGTGTTCGAACGGACCTTAAGGCATAGGTACAAGTCTAATCACCTAACTACCGATTATCTGTTTGGGTCAGGACTTTAATTCTCATTTTTACAAAACATTACTGCGACAGAAACGTGCACTCATGTATGTCTCATGTATTTTCCAAAGACAAATGAACACACCGTTCCGTTTAATAGAGCTGAAATTCCACCTTTACACTATGAAAATTTATCTGAATTGATACAGGATGTTAAGAATGTTTCAGCACCAACGAATATGCGAAGATTGTTTGCGAAAATGTCTGAAGTCCAGTCTTACGATATACGCTTCTCTCCTAATAGTTGCTAAATAAAACCCTTAAACCTTGTAGTACAAAATGCTTTCTCAAGATCAGTGCTAAACTATAAAATGAGATACCATGCTCTCTTAGGGAGCCAAAGGAAAAATCATTCAAGTTTGAAATAAAAAAAAAATCCATTGCTAAGTATATTCAAGAGAGAAAATTCCTTTCTTGACCTACTCGAGATCATTCTTAAAGAAAAATTTCTTTGTAATGAATAACGCCTATAACATTCCTTTCTATAGTGAAGGCTTCTACCAAGCCATGCTCCTACTTTCCTTTTTCATCATTTAGTATGATTATTTTTTTGGTTGATTTAGGTCCTTACTTGATTTTGAAGACTGGCCCGCCTAGATTAGAGTTAGCTATCTGTGGGCCAAACAAGCTATAGCTTTTATTTCAAGGATGAAAAAAAGAGATTGTTGTTGCTAGTCACAACTATGTTAAAGAGATAATATTTAACTTTCAAAAAAATGAATCTTGATCATGTACTTCGCTTCTTCGTCGAAATCGCTGCCGAGTTTCCTTCGGCGAGTGCTTTTACCGTAACCCACGCGAAGCTACAGTATGCGGTATTCAAATGCCATGCGTTTCCTGAAAGTTCCAAAAAATCCGCCCTCTTCAATAGTGAAGACCTTCATGTCGTAGTTAAGTCCGGGTATTTTGTGGTGGTAATTCATACATTTCCACTGATCTATGTCTTTCAGGTTTGATTTCTCCAACCAATTCTGGCGCAGCACCATAAGCTGGCTGGTTTTTCTCGGATTCTTTTAATCGTAGCATTTCAAAGATAGCACTTCTAAAGCGGCGATCTCTATAGTAGTAAATCAATGGATTTGCTAAAGAGTTAAGCTGCATGATTGTCTCTGTCAAACGGAAAACGGAACTTTTCTGAAAAATTGCGCTAAATTTTCCTAAAATCTCTAATGCAACAGGAAGAAGAAACAATAAAATGATGATTCCCGTTATGAAACCAGTTGTCTTAGCAATTCTAATTTTCTGCTTTCCCATGGGTAGAGCGCAACTACGGTCGAGCTGGTAAATTTGTAGTTTTCGTATTCGAAGGTAGACCATAAGGTAAAAATAAACTGTTACCATTACGGCAGATCCCAAAAAAACACCCTGAAAGGGTTAATAGAATTTTTCAAACCAGCCAACATCTATTTTGGCTCCCGCTAAAATGTAGGGTGGTGCTACGCACATCGCCGGTAACCAAGCGAGTAACGCAAGTTTCTTCGCAAGACGTTTTGTCGCGATCAATTTATATTTTCTCCATTTCTTGATTGCCATATACCTTTCCCATGCAATCACGGTCAAGTGAGAGAGCACAGAGGTGGATGCAAAGTACATGACAGCAAGTCCCATGAGGTCTAATATACAGACTTTGTGAAGAAAAGTTTGGTGAACAATCAATAAATCAACGACAGAAGTTAACGGCATGGATACAGCACCAATTAGTATGTCTGCAAAGGCCATACTGCACAACAGAATAGTCGACGCTCTTTGCAAATCTCTCCTCCTGCTCACGGCCGCGATTTCTAACACGTTGAGAAGAACGATTACGGGAGAGGCAAGTGTTGTGATACCAAATATAAGCCAGGCAAAAGTAGTGTCCTCCAATTCCCAATAATAGCCTGGATAATACCAGCAATAAAACACTGACGTGGTCATGTAGGCCTGATTGATAGTTTTTGACTCGTTTGCGAGCATATTGTGAGGGAAAACGGGTTACAAGATTAATTTCTGTCGTCCGTAGCGTTGTTCCCAGGCAGTGTGCGAGCTATTCTGAACAAATATAGAGCGTCCAGACCATCTTCTGTTGGTTGTAGAGGAAATACCTTTTATCCCTTCATAGCAGGATAGCAGCTGCTTCTTCATGGAAATGCAGTTTCATTGTTTTAGCGGATTTTCGGTATTTTCCTTCAATTCGTATTTTGGCTTTGGCCGCGTTTAGTTTGATGTGATGAATATAGTCGCATTCATGTCGGCATAAATAATGGAAAGATAAGAATACCTGTGTATTAACGGGTTAACGTGTAGAGTGTCTTTTGTCTTTTTCTTTCGTTTTGTCTTGGTTTTCTTGGTTCTTTTTTACACTGGTTGTAACATGAATGGTAGCTCACCCAATGTGAGATGAATTTCAAAACTCCATGCAAGGGGAATATTAGATGATCACACTTGAATTGTTATGGACTTTGGTGACTAGTAGTGCCTCTTTTACCATTCTCCTTAATTTTTGCACGCAGGGTGTCCAACAAATCACTCATAAAAAGGCCATAGGAATGAAATGAGAGGTGGAGAGGACTAAAAAAAAAAGTGTTCAGTTTTCACGCGCGCTGATTGGCGTGAAGGAGGTGATTAGCAAGTATTAATCACCTCTGAGCAGCTGGAGAGACGAAATAGCACGTCAAGAATCTAGTATCTTGCCATCTTTGGTGTTTTATAGAAATAAACTAAACATATGTTCCTCACACAGAACGCAGTATGTTAGGCTTCAAGTATATTCGGCATTCCAGCTAATACTGTGCTGCGTTCTCGGGATATGCCTGTTATTTTCGTTTCAGTATTTGAAATAACCAACTAGTGAAAATTGCTTTTCGCGGCCGCTGATTGGCTAGTTCGGAAGTGAATAGCAAGAACTGGTCACCTTCAAGCAGCCAGAGACAACATTCTGCGTCAAGAGTTGAATTTCCTACCATTTTTCGGTGTCATGACAGAAAGAAATGAAGTTTTGGTATTGTGTGGTATATACTAAAACAATTATTCACCTCAATGTCGCTGAAAGTGGTGTAAAGACTATTCACCTCCACTTCGGCGAACAATTGATAATCATTTTGCAATCTACCTAAGAGAGAATTGTTCTCTCGTGCTTACTGGCCTTCATGATTGACTTGACCATTCCGTGACATACAAGCTGACACACCAAATGCATGTATACCTTTGTAAAAGAACGGACTTTTTAAACCCATCATAGTTTTTGTATCAGTCCATTATTTGAGGTAAAAAAAGATTACACAATGGACCATGGAGAGTGGCCACGATCGCTTTTTGTTTTGCTGCTTTTTCTGCACCTCTGGTTGGAGACATTTTAAACGCTCTGTTTCTGGCTTGCGTCATTAGCCGAGTCATAAATTTATAGTTTTGCTTTTTCCCCTTCTAAAGGCAGCAGAACTTTGAAATCTGTGGGTTAAGACTGTTGCATTCAGTATAAATATAGATACATTTTCTTTATTATTGTTTTTCGTGTTTGCTTTTTTCTGCCTCTACGTTTTGCATGATTTTGTAATCAATTTCTTTGTACATAGATTATTTAATACAATGTAACGCTAATATATATAATACAATAAGAATTTAATTTAACTGAAATGTGCCGTTACGATTTGCTGAAATTTCTTCTTAATTACACATATCTTAGCGAATTGGAAAACACGATGTTACTCCAGCAGTAGTATCACCATTTTTGATGATGCCCTTGGATTGCACATTTACTGCTACTTTTGAAGTTATTTTGGTTCAAACTGAATTTTCTGAGAGTCTTAGCAGTTCGCATTATTGAGTAATGTATGGTTATTTCTTACTTGTGAAAGCTCGTGTCTCGAGCTTAAACCCTTGTTCCACTATTTTCATTCATGCAAATTTCAATTCATGTTCCCTTTGGTAATTCGAGGAAGAGCAAAAACCAAATCAGACTATTTGAACATAATTGGAAGCGGTTACAGTGTTGTGTATATTTGTTTTAATTTACGTGGAATGTAACTAGAGCTAAATACTTTCATTTTAGGGTTGTACGATCTTCAGAGGATTTGCTTGGTCCAAATGACTCTCAACTTCTAGCACAGTTCTTTCAGGAGACACAGTTGCAGTCGGTTTACAGATGAAACTTAGTGATAAGGAGTATTTCCTGTATTCTTTGTTACTGAGGAAATAAATCCACGGATTTACAGTGGAATTGAATATAGACAGCACTAATGAAATTTTTACCCCAACATCCGTGACTTGGGTAATGTCAAAGTTTATCAAAACGAAACAGATTTGACTAGGAAACCAGCAGCCTGTTAAGACAGCGGCTGTGATAACACACATGCGCAGCAGCAGTTTTTGCTGGTGGCGCGGATGCTGTGTTATACCAGATACCGACGGGGTATTCTTGATTCGATACATTATATGGATGAACGAAGCCCAAGTTATAAGTGCGGGAAGGACAAACATTACTGTTACGTTGGTTAAAACGAGTGCTCGTTGTCTCTTCTTCCCCAACTTAACAGTTTCACACGTATTGTTCTCAAACTTAACGCGAAAGATATTGAAAGCGTGCATTAAAACACTTGAAACTATGATACACAAGATATAAAGTAAAAGTCTTTTCCGAGAAAAAAGGACCTTGTATTTGAACGGTTTTATAACCGAACACCATCGTTCCAGGGATAAAAGCAAGACGATTAAAATTGAAACTTTGCCGAAGTAAAACACTAGGAAACTATTTCCGAAAAAGTAGCAGAAGAAATAGCCCGCTGGCCCGGCGAGATGTGGAATGCGGATAATACGAAACAGTGGTGTCGCAAAAATAGTGGCCCCTGCAAGTTAAAGAAAAGCGAACAATAATTATAAAGGACTTTCCCTAGATTTATTATTATACCTCGATACGTGATCAGAAGATGCATTTAATCCACGCTCTAACAAGACAGTCTATTGATTTGTGATAACAAGAAAAGAATAATGTATCAGCCATTATGGATGCTTAGAGTTTCCCACACGAATGCAGCAGTCATTTATTTTCGCTGAGGGGCTTTGAGGATATAAGTGAGTCTGCATGTAGTTCTCGGTAGCTAATTCCAAAGAGGATGAAATGTTAGGCCTAATTTCTAGCTTTTACTTTATTAGTTGTACGCTAATTAATTCATACGGCTCCATTAACACTTTCGCTCCCAAGATCTCATAATATTCTTTTGTCTACGATACAATTCTTTTGATGTTAGCTTGAATAATTTGGTATGGGATGAACTAAGATCCCCGAATTGATATTTTCTTCATGATCCACACCTGTCTGCTTGCTATTATAATGATATTGTGAGCCAAAAAATTAAGAGCCAAAAAAATCTCTCGTTCACAGAAAATTTGAATGATTTTAGTTAGAGCGCAAAGAGCTGAAATAAAACAACCAGAATTTCAATTTTTGCCATTTGCCGTAGATGTTATTCTTAACATATCTCAAATAAAGTTCATGTAAATGTACTCTGATCACTGAAACAAGTGACGTCGCCTTTTGAAAAGATAACTTCTCAGTTAAATTAGTTCAGCTGATTTGTACCCCTTGTTTTCCCACAGTCTTGTTTCTTTTTAACCTTTTGCCACGTTTTTCGGAAGTAAGAATTTCATTCCTGGTTCAAAAGACTGTCACCTTTAAGCACAGAGCAACTTCGAACAAATCATTCTATTTGTACCTGTTAACATGTCAGCTGTTGCTAAAGTCAGCAGTAGAATGTTGTGAGGTTTTTTCAACAGGAAAGGTTTGTTATACAACAGGAAACAAAATGTAGCGTTGCCTGCGATGGACGCCGCACCAATGACGCCATAAGTTGCTGCAATGGTTTGAGTCGCACCCATGGCTGCCATACGTGTACTTGATGACTCCTGGATGCGCCACAAAAATCTACGGGTGAGACATAAGGAGTGAAAAAGAGTTTGAGCATCTCATAGCCAACGTAAAAAGTTCAGCAAGAATTATAATCTCCCGTGAAGTAAAAGCGGGTATTTGCATACCTCGACTTGGCCTACTCTGAATAACGCCGTAGACAATATTTTTCTCTGTAAACTGTCCTGTCGAAACGGCTTCGTCCAGTTTTCAAAAATCCACTTCCAACAGCTTGCCCGATGGAAACGCCTACTGTCAAGTTCAGCAATTGTCAATTATATATACACTATCTTAATCAACGCGGAAATTGCTTCGGATATTAGTTGAACCTTTTCGCTGCATTCAAGATGAATAGCTCCTTTGCGATAAACTGAGAAAATTGTCAAATGCATCAATAAAAAAAAAAAACACTCTGAAAACTTTCAAGATAATTTAGTTTGATCAATTAAGTTGATAATGTAGATTGGCCACCATATAGTGTTTCTTAAGCTGAAGTTTTGAGCGTTAGCCCTTCGTTAGAGCGACCATCTTTTGGGTCTAAAATATCGTGTCAACTAATTAACTCACAAATGGAACAACAAAATCAGATTATTACCAGAAAGGAAACATAAAATTAAGTATAAGTTTCAGTTAGTTTGCAAAACATCTGGACGAAAAAGAAGCAAAATAGTACTTTAATAAGTGACAGGACTGTGTTAATATCCTGTATGTAATTAGTTGTTTGGTCTGTAAAGTAATCAGTATCCTCGCATTTGCACGAAATTTCCGCAATTTTTATTAACAAGTGTACATACACATTGTACGCTGAGATAGATGGTGATATTTTAATTTCCTTCAATAAACAAAATATAAATTTCTTCTGGCATATGTCTTTAAGAAACCCTCCAAAGACTATGCAGGATTGAACAACATTGGTTAGGATTCGTAGAAATCTTTTCAAAATCTAAAACTAGTTTCACGACTCTGCACCAAACTTTTGCTACGACCTGAGCGATAGAAAGCCTACAGGCGTAATTTGCGGTGTAATTTACAGGCGTAATTTGGGTGAAAATGTGAGGCAAATGTAGATGAAAAGACACGTGCAAGCAAAGGGGGAAAATGTTAATTGCCTTTCGCATCTAGTATGGTCAGGGCGCGAACGAATTTAAAGCCGAGTGAGATTTATCAAAGTAAACTCAAGAGTTAGCTTCGCATTTCTTTGCTTAAAATATAAATACCTAAGAGAAATAAAGCTTCTATGGCAATACATAGTTACACTGTGAAGGTTTAAATGGGGTGAGGGCTTTTACAGCTAACGTTTTCATTTCTTTAAGTTATGGTTCACAGAAAAAAGTTTTACGGCTAACATTTTTTATTCCTAACGACTATTTTTTTTGTGCCGTTTTACGGCTTACTTTTAACCCCATTGGGAACCTTCAATAGGTACAACCAGTTTTCCCGTTCAATAATTCAAAAGTTTCCGTTTCATGTCGGCGAAAACGAACTAAAACATTTCTGTCCACACCAGCCTTTCCGTGGTATTTTTACTTGTCCACGCTAAGACAGCCGAAAGCGATAAAACGAGTGGGACCTGGAATTGAAAATAAAACCAATCTTTTTATGATCCCTAACTTTCGTCCTAAGTTGGCTTGCACATCGTACAAGGCTATGTTCAGCTGAAGACATTGAACAAAGCTCCAAATCAGCAAATAAAATATCAGAAGATTTTCTGCCATCTTGGACAAATGCTCCGTTTAGAACTGAAACCAATTACATCTAGTTATTTTTTGTTGCCGTTTTCAAAACATCTGTTTTCACATGTGCACGGCACTAAAAGAGAGCGTTTTAAAAACTATACGTTTGAAAAAAACTATAGATTTGAGACCGTTTTCGAAAGTCTCCATTTCATCGACGTTTTCGGGCGTTTTAGTATGAATGATCGGCGAAAACACGTCAAAAGTAATACTATGCGTATTCAAACGAAAACATAGCAGTATGGTAGGCGCCTTAGAAAGCGGTTTTTGAACATTATATCAAGTTAAATATGAATTTAGTCAGTTTAGGAGATCGTCAAACTTATGGCGCAATTCACAATGAAAGTTTGTTCCTCATGCGTGCCAGAAAGAAAAACCTTTTTGCAAATGACGCATTATTTTGATATTTCCATAAATATTACAGCAGACACAAATACAATCATTTTAAAGAGCACTCAATAGGCCTTAAAGAGCTAAACTACCTCCAAAGAGGAAAAACCATAGTAGTGGAATGTACCGAAGAAAAGCCACAGAATCTTGAAACACCGAGTATGTATTGAAAAATAACTCATCTACGCTATGTCGAGGTAGAGAGCAAAGTTTTTGCATGATTTATGCGGAGATCTGTCCTGAAAGCCGCACAAAGATCCATGGAATCTGAAACTTTTTCAAAAATTGTTCTACGAGAATCTTACAGGATCGCATTCCAATCATCATAGCAGTGAGAGATGGATGGGCAGGATGTAGAGAAGTGTTGCATTGGGCCTTGCAACCTTAAAATCTTCACGTGGCATAAAACCTACCACCATGGAATTGGCTGGATTTCAAAACAAAACAAGGCGATGCAAACACCATTCATTTAGTGCATTTCAGTCTATATCGGCAATATCGCGAACACGTGCTAATTGCAAACAAGGTTTCCAGTTTGCCTACCTCAATAATTGCATCTTCTTCACGTTAACTGTCCAGATTACTTTCAAAACCACTTAGGAACCGTTTCAGGCAGTAGCCTTGCCTTTCCTAAACACCATCTCCAGGAACTATCAAAATCTTGTAAACTCACTTCAACGGTCGCTCGTTTTAATTTGTTTTCTTTGCAAAGGATTTGTCACATGGGGTTACTAGACACAAAAGAAGACAACTTAAAGTTTATTCTACCATCAAATTACCAGCTGATCATTGACATAACCTGCAAATGCCTTTCCCCAGACTAGTAAATTTAAACTGTCTTTTAACGGAACACCTGCTTATGCTGCAAGCTAAGGGGAAGTCAAAAGTGGTGCTGCGTCGTTTGAGTTGTAATGAGATAACTCGAATTGATGTATTGTAAATAGGCCACCGTAAGGTGGCTGACGTTTTGAGTAATAGCCCTTCGTCAGAGCAAAATGCAAAAGTTGAAGGTACATGTACCTCCCTTAATTTGTTACTTAAGCCAGGCCCCCAGTGGGCAAACCTGCATCCAGGCTCCTGTGAGTCGAGTAAAGTTAATCATTTAATCGAGCAAGACCTCGAGTTCGTTTGTGAATAAAAGTGTTTGTTATGTTTTAATTGTCGTTCGCCCCCTCAATGTCACATATAGTACCTACACTTGTTAATTTCGGTTTCAAGTTTTGATATTTTTTTCGCTGTATGGAAGAGAAACCACATCTCGTGTTCTTGAATGACTACAGTTGTGTTTCTCATAAAATTCTTCTGGGAAGGGCTCATTTTCATTTTCATTTCATTATTGAAACAATTTACCTCGTCCAATAAAGCGCTGAAAACAACTTCAAGTACAGTGCTACCATTAATAGCTGCAGTAAAAAAGACGTAACCTCTTCATATTTATAAGATATGTTGTCGAACGCATCGACATTAAATGTGACCACCTAATGGGTTTGAGCCTTTATCCGAACCTTTATTTAAACTATTTGATGATTTAGAAGTTATTACACGAGTAAATGCATTCATACCACATCCATTAGGTATCGCACGTATTCGGTCTACTAATGCTTCGGTCACTTGATATCATTGTGTTGTTGATTTTATGATTTGTTTCTGCATCGATGAAGAATACGTGAAAGAAGAACCATTGTTTCACGTGAATGCTCTTTCTGAGAAATCAAAAACGATTGTTTAAAAAAAAATTTATATTTCTTAGAAAACTGGAAGTCATCTCAACAATATCTGGCCGGTAGAACTTGAAGCGATTATAAACTTTGTTCGACGTCTCATTTGCTCATATTCGTATGATGACAACGAAATCATTTAGAAAATATACCGTCTGACCTAATATCAGTTCTGTTTGACAGAGAGTGAGAAGGAAGCAAACTTTAAGGTTGACTCCAAATTATTATTCTATCTTCCTCCTGTTTCTTAGAAAAGCGGAAGTGTACACACGAATGATCTCGATTGGCTAGTTTTTATAGCCTCAAAACAAATGGATGTCTCTTAATAGAAATAATGGCCTGTAATTGGGTGCCAAGATGACGTGTGACACAAGGTAAACTGAAACCACGACATAACGGTTGGAGCAGTTGTGGAGTTTCACACTGAAATTCAGAGTGCACCACAAATAGTTCGTATCCGAAATGAGTCAAATGGCAAACGTTCGGCGTGATAGAGAAATTAGCCGTCTTCAAGGATCGCAAGCTCAAAATTGGACAAATTGGGTAAAAGCCATGGTCCCTCCAAATATTGAAGGAAATAATCTTGAACGACGTGGACAAGGTCAAGTTGGTTCCATATGCACAAACATAAGATCTGCTTTCCCTGACAAGGCCAGAAACTGTGGAATTTATGAGTGGCGAGCTAAAGGAACGTTAGACGATCAACCCAATTATATTGTTTATGTTGGAAGCACGTGCAGGGATAAACCAGGAGCAATAAGGCGAAGAATTAACGAATACTGCACGAATGGATCGCATAAAGCAAAACTCATGAATGAAGCTTTGACAAAGAGATATGAGTTATGGGTTCGTGTTAAGACCTCGGAAGGAAGGAATAATGCTGAAGACATGGAGAACAAGCTGTTAGAGAAGTATGACTACGCCTGGAACTTTAGAGAAAACGAAGAGATCCGACATATACTGCCTTGAGGAAAGAAAAGTCGAGTCATGCGTTGTTTATGATGACGATGCCTTTGTTGTTGACTATGATGCGTGACATTATAAGTTAGTGCTAGCTTGTTTCCTTTTTTTACTCAAAAATGTTTACTTTCTGTTGGACAGGTTTCAGGCTGGTTCCTTATTAGATAATCCAACTTTAATATAAGTATGTCAGTAAATATAAGAAGGAGGATGAGTGTGCTCTCTGTTTTTGTCCAAAACGTTGTCACATAATCGTCAAATGTAAACGATGCAATATTGAGCTTTATGTAGTGCTTTATGTGGCACCTGAAATTTAACAGTAAATTGTAAAACCTACGAAGGCTATGCATGCATATTAATGTTGCTGTAGAAGGCCTACATAGAAAACCAGATCGTATTTAAAATTCGTTGCTTTCCTTCCGAGCATAAAAAACGGCCAGTTTACGAGTTTTTTATAAATAAAAAATCTATTTTTGAAATAAAGTACAATATGTTCTCAAGAGTGCAGCACAAAATCCATCCCGTAAGTCAAAATTAAGCATTTCAAGTAATTTACATGTGATCTTACGATCACGCAATAGCCATTTAGGACCTTCATCTTTCAATTGTTATTCATCGACCAAGTTCTGACCGATGATGAGTGCCAGATCATAATATTCCTTCGCCTTTTCCGTATCACCAAGTTCGGCATGAACGTTACCTAGGTTATTGTAAGTAGCCGCAACGTGGACATACCCAGGTCCAAGTTTATCCAGATTAATGGCCAGTGCAAGATCAAAATAATCTTTAACTTGCTCCAGGGAGAGAGATGAACAATACCCAAGTTACTGCATGTAGTTGCAACATCAATATGCTCAGCTTCCTCGTTCAAATGGCCAGTGCACGATCATAATACACTTTCGCTTGCTCTAGATTTCCCAATTGTCGAGATACGTTTCTTAGGCTGCCATAAGTAGCTGCGATATGAATATGATCAGGACCGAGTTGTTTTAGACGAATTCTCAGGGGATGATTGTAAAATATCCTTGCCTGCTTTGGATGACCCAATTCACGATGAACGTCTCCTAAATTATTGTAAGCAGTTGCAACATGAACATGTGCATGCTCACTCATATCGTGTATAACAACCAGTGCACGATCAAAATAGCTTTTCGCTTTCTCTACATCTCTTAGGCCAAGGTGAATGTTATCCAAGTTCCCATAAGTGGCTGCGATATCTACATGCTTGCGTCCTTGTTCTTTCAGTCGAATAGATAATTCACTGTTCTGCTCTGGAAGCTCGTTCACTAAGATATTAATGACTTCATGTGCAGCATAATGTGTGCGAACATAAACACCAATCTCCTCCTCGTCTAACAACAGTAACGAGCACCTTTTAATTCTCAAACTTATCACCTCACGTGTCTCCATTTCTTTGTCTTTTGAAGGTCCAGATACACGGGTTGCATTGCGCATAGGGAGAGGAAAGTAAAAACATTACTAGGAATTTTGTCGGATGCCGCCATCGTTTCAACGGCTAACGATATTGCTGTGGTCGTGGACTTTTGGTAGCATGGGTTGGTTTCAGCAAAAATAGCCTCAGTGGTACGCCGTTGGCCTTTGTTCAGTTCCTCGACATAATCGTTCCAGCCAAACTTTGCAGTTTCTTTGTTCTGTTGCACCTGCCTTAGATAGATTGCAACACTTGCGAGGGGATTTTTATTAAAACTGTTCGATGATTCAGTAGTTATTATATGAGTAAATGTATTTATATTCATTTACTAGTAGTATCATATGTATTCAGTCTACTAATGCTCCGGCCACTTGATATCATGGTGTTGCTGATTTACGTTTTGTTACTGCATCGATGAAGAATACGTGAAAGAAGAACTATTATTTTCTTTCTGAGATATCAAAAACGATTATAGTAAAAAAAAATTGTATATTTCTTAGAAAACCGGAAGTCATTTCAGCAATATCTAGCCGGTAAACTTTGAAGCGATTATAAACTTCGTTCGATGTCTCGTCTGCTCATAATTGCATGATGACAATGAAATAATTTAGAGAATACACCGTCTGATCTAAAAAGAGACGATTTCTGCTAAGTATTTAAGGGGATGCTGAGGAAGAGATCGTGTTATCGTCTCATATCAGTTCCGTTTGACGCAGACTGAGAAAGAAGCAAGCTTTATTTGTGATGTTTGCGCCAATATGGCAGCACGCTTTTTAATATCGCTTTGTAGTTTAGTCATTATCCACCATCTATTGCCAGTCCTTCAGACCAGCAATAGCAACGGACGAAATACTAAGGATCTTTACATTCTGAAAAGCAGTAATGGGGAACATAACATCTTCAATGCACTTCAATCAACACCGAATTTCCCGCCAAATTCCGCACGCGACTCCAGGACGGCCCTAAAGCGTGTCCAGGTGAGTTTAGTCTTCAGATTTTCTGAAGCGGTAACAAAGCACAGTAAGCATGGAATGACCGTTCTGGCTCTACCAAGCTGTCTACTTTGCACAGATCTCACGATACACATGGATATTCAAAGAATCCGGGTCCGGAAAGGACAGGAAACTCTGCTGGAAGCCACACGAGTAATGGCTCGCAGAATCTGCAATCCAATTAAATATTTAAGATCTGAATTGATACACTCGAGGTTAAGACGTGCTATCTTAGACGACATCTTTCGCAAGATAAATATGGATATATTGAGAACCCGAAGAATTCGATCTGTTCACGCTGTTCGTAATTGCCACCCAGTCAGGAAACCGAAATATTGCGTTTCCAAAGACGTGTGCTACAGGAGTGAATCTGCATCAGGCAATGTGCGCACTCTGATTGCGTTGCATTATGGTCGTAAAACTAAAAAGCGAGTCATTTACATCCTGTCGCGGTCGAGTAATAAACGTGGAATGTAATGGGGATTCACTCTCTGTTGCCGTTCCTTCGAAAGTTAAAAAGTGTTTTTCCTCCGTGACAAATTTGTTATTAGGAAGCAACTGAAGAGATTCAGAAAGAATCGAAACTGCGGCCTTGCCCAAGAATCTATTCATTTAGCAGCAGTTACACCCAAAGCCGATGGCTGTGTGAATAATATCAAATTCGCGAGTTATTTAACGGGGAATCGACCCTTGACGTACAAACGCATTATAACACAAAGAGACAGCGACCCTCTAATACACGAACTACTTTTCATGTCATACACTTAAAGGCGTAAATACGGGATTCACGAAAGGAGAAGCCTTACACCTCCCAAGACCAAATTCGTCACGCTCAAAGTTTAATAAAAATGTACAGAGTTTCAAATATGCTTAAAGAATCAAGAATACCGAGAATGAGGTTTTGAGAAACGTATCTTTGAAGTTATTTTATGCGGAAGAGACAGTATACCTGAAAACGAAAAAAATAGCGCGCACAAATGAAAATATTACCTTTGCTAACACAATCTCATCCGGCTGTGCCAAACCTCAAGAAGACCAAGAACATACAGATGGAGAAATGACACCTTAAAACTAACCTTTATTATCACATCGCAAACAAAAGTCATTAAAAGATATCCTAATAACAGCTAAGCTTTCAAGTCAGAAGATTTAAAAGCGCAAGCGAGTGGCAGGAGTCGCACAAGGCAATCAACATCTTTTAACCATCCACTACCTTCTGATTTCCGGTTATCCAGCGTGTCGCCGTGTACATTGTAGATTGTTATTTATTGGCCAAGTGACTCCTTTCGTTGCTCTAATTCATCATTCCTTCATTCAATGATCAAGATAGTAGATTTACCATACAACACTCGCCATTAGTAAATTTCCTTTTACCTAGGAAAGTAGATTTACAACACAGTGGAGTATACGATGGTAACGCTTTGTAAAGCAACTGGCCTGTTCTTGGCCATAATCGGTCTCAAACACTATCACTTAAAAAGCGAGAAATACACGTACCGTTTGAGAGCGTTTGAGAGCGTTTGGTCAGAGCTGTTGAAGAAGGATCAAAGCGGCCATCCAAATCTTTGAAAGGCTCCAAACTACGACGTACATCAAATTTGACCTTCTCGAAAACCGGTCTCCGAGTCAAATTACTTACTGGAACAATAGTGATTGCGTTTGTCCTTGGGGAACCGTAGAATACGCGACAAATACGGACAAAAAATATTGATACACATTCAGAATAAATCAAATTACATTTACCTATGGTGAAAGGAAAAAATAACGGCCTAACTTTTACGGAATGGTCGGTCAAAATCTGCCGATTTTTGCTGCTTTCACCGCCATATTGAAAATGAAGCTACCGCAATGCAACGTAGTCGGAGTGCGCACACCGCCTGAATCTGCATAATCTGTGTTCAGTGAAGCGAATTGAGTCAGACAAATGGAGCGTCAAATGCTAGTTACACCGGGCTTGAAATCGTCTACCTAAATATAAGATCGCTCAAAAATAGCGCTCATTTTTCAGCGCTATGGCTTCTTTCTTCAGAAAGGAAACCGATATCATCAGAATCTCTGAAACTTAGCTAAAAACTACCGTCACAACCCTGGAGTTGTGACGTGGAGGAGTCTGCGCCTACATTCGGAAAGAACTTAAAGCCACTTTACTGAAAGAGCTCCCCTATATGTCCGAGAGAAATTTCCATCAGTTATGGTTGTGCCCAGTACAATAAATTTAAATCGATGGTGATCTGCATCACGTATCGCTCAGACGACTCTCCCCTCAATTCCTTTGATGAGGTCTTAAACCCAGCTACATCCAAACCTTACTGCTCAACAAGCCTATCTTAATTTTAGGCGATTTGAACTGTAACTATCTCAAGAAAACCTACTCTGAATTTAAAGCATTGGAGAAATTTTACACCGAAATGAACTCGATACAGCTCATTTAAAGCCAACTAGGATCACAGAAAACGCTGAATCGTTGCTTGACGTAATCCTAGTTTAGGCCAACACGCTTGTTCGGGGTTTTGGGGTTTTACATTGGCCCATTAGCGACCACTCAATTGTCTTTGTGAAACTCAAAGTAAAGCCGCCAAAACTTCTTCCCCCCAATTTGTAAATGTCCGCAGCCATTAAAACTATAGCCCTAACATCTTTATGGTAGACCTAACCGACAAGGCCGATAACCTTCTACCAATTTTTGGTGCTAGCGAAGTGGACACCAAGCTCAATACATGTAATGATACTCTACCGTCCGTTCTAGACATCCATACTCCCATGAAATCCATTAAGATTCGTAGCAGATCTTGTCGTTTTGTCAACCAGGAAATCAAGGATCTCATGAAATCTAGAGATGGCCTCCTCAAACGATTTCATCAAACACGGGACGCCGTTGACTGGGCTAATTTTAAAGAATCGCGCAACTTGGTCAAGAAAACCCTTCTTGAAGCTGAGAGAAACCACACTTTCGAAGAAGTGACACTGCATCAGAAAAATCCCAATTCTCACTGGAAGATAATTAATCGCGCTCTCCATTTCAAAATCAAGGAAAGGCAAACTTATTCAAAAGATCTGAAATACGTAGCAAATTAATTCAACCAGTTTTTTGCAGCTGTCGGTAGAAATGCCGTAGAGGCCTCCTTGTGCCTTGGTAAGAAGAACAACTTGGCGATCCTCGATGAGATAAGCGTCGACCTCCCTCCCATTGATGAGCTTTTTAATCTCAGGACCGTGACATGTGAAGAAGTACGCCAAGTTGCAATGTCTCTGCCACTTAACAAAGCGCCTGGTCCTGATAAATTGAGCGCATGCTTAATCAAGGACTGCCTACCCGTCATCTTAGGCCCTCTGACTGAGATCATAGATTGCTCCATTCTTACCGGTACATTCCCAAAGAAGTGGAAAGAAGCCGAGGTGATACCTATCCTTAAAGCCATAAATCATGAAGAAGCGGCCAATAACCGACCACTATCACTGTTAACAGTCGCGTCTAAGGTTTCAATTTAAACTTTTTAAGGTTGACCCCAAATTATTGTTCTATCTTTCTCCTGTTTCTTAGAAAAGCGGAAGTGTATACGCGAATAATCTCGATTAAAAATTGAACTGTAACCAGGATATGACATAGTAAAAAAAGTAAAAAAACGTTCTCTGGTTAAAAAGGTTTTAAAATATGAGCTTTCGGCTATTATACTATAGCCTTTAACGAATGTAAAAAAATAAGCGCGTGAATGGAAATATATACAGGGGAGGGTGTGAAAAAATTAAAAACTAAAAAATACAATAGAAGTGTGAAAAGCTAAAAAATGGACAATAAATCAAATTCAAATTACAATAAGATAGAATATTGTCTTGGTAACGGTTTAGAGTTATTGTCTGCGCCGACAGTTTTTGCGGTATGCCAAGATTCTAGTGTTTTTCGAACGCGGTAATTGCCTTTGTCTATCACGGTAGCGCCCTCAAAGTCAATCGCGTGATTGTTTTTCCACGCATGGTTGGCAATGTTCGAGCCACTCGTATAGTTTTTAAGATTTCGTTGATGTTCCTTTCTTTGGGTTTTAAAGCATCTGCCAGTTTCTCCTACATAACTCCAACAGCAGTCAGAGCACGGAATTTTGTAGACAACATGGCATTGTAGATCTAAGGGCTGCCTGAACTTAGGTGACGGGAATTCTTGTTGCAGGGTTTTAGCTGGTTTGCTAACCACACGAATGTCATTTTTACGAAGTAATCTGGTAAGAGGCTCATTCAGGCCGCTGATGTAGGGAAGACAAGCGAAACCCAGAGATGTGTCTGATGGATCGGCCCATTTGAAGAACATGGACACAACTCTTCTGGTGGAGGAGTTGTCGGAGCTGACTTCTTTTTTAAAATGTTGGAAATAACTATTAATGGGTAGCCATTAGCTTTTAAGGCTTCGGTAACGTGGCTAGTCTCGCGTCTTTTACCTTCAATGGTGCTCGGAAGGTTGGCTGCACGGAATAGAAGGGTCGAGGCCGCACAGACCTTATGTTTTGATTCATGATGTGAAGAAAAATCCAGATATCAATCTGTGTGTGTCGGCTTCCTGTAAACATCAATGCTAGTAACACCATTTTTCCTGGAAACAAGCGTGTCCAGGAAAGAGATTTGATCATTGTTTTCTTCTTCGATAGTAAAAGCGATTTTGGGATCAATGGAGTTTAAGGCGTCATGGAAGGAGGAGACAGCATCTTTCTTGATGATAAGAAAGCTGTCGTCAACATATCGTTTCCAAACCCTTGGTGCAACTGTAGAGGTATTGATGGCTAATTCTTCAACCACCTCCATGCAAAGATTAGCCACGATAGGGCTTACAGGGCTGCCCATGGCACATCCGTGGACTTGCTTGTATATACAGTTATTGTAGACAAAATAGTTGTTGGAGAGAGTGAAGTCCAATAGAGAAATGATGTCATAGGTAGTAAGGCTTGTTCTAGATTGTAAAGTACTGTCATTGTTCAACTTGTTGCGAATATAATCACACGCTTTGCTGACAGGGATAGCTGTGAAAAGCGACACAACGTCGAATGACACCATAACTTCATCATCAGAAATTTCCATAATGGCTACTTCTTTGGCAAACTGTGAAGAGTTAAGAATAGAATAGCCATCGAGGTTCTGAATCGGCGATAGGATATCAGAGAGAAACTTGGATGTGTTGTAAAGGGCAGACCCAATGCTCGATACAATCGGTCGAAGAGGGAATCCTGATTTGTGGTGTTTAATGGAACCCCGGATGGCAGGCGGAGAACCGTCTGTAGAGCGGAGTGTTTGGTAGACTGTTTCGTCTATCTTGTTTTGTCGTTTGAGATCGAGGAGTCTACTGTTCAGTTCCCTTTCAATTTTGGCGAATGGTGACTTGTGGACTGGTTGGTAAGTGTCTGGGTCGCTGAGTAGAGTTTCCATTTTGGAGTCATAGTCAGTTCTGTCCATAACAACAAAACAGTTCCCTTTATCAGCTTTCGTAATAACACGTTCGTGGTCATTTTTTAAGTTCTTTAGGGCTCTTAATTCGGTTTCGGTGGTGTTCCTGTGTGGTGGGAGTCGGGCCCTGTGGAGCAACGAAGCGGTGGTGGTTCGTACGGCGTCCTTCGTGTCATCAGGAAGGCGGACGATGGCGGCTTCAACCTCGGAGACAATATCTTTAACAGGGATGGTTTGTGGGGTTGGAGCAAATTTTCTCCAACCCCACAAACCATCCCTGTCGGCGCAGACAATAACTCTAAACCGTTACCAAGACAATATTCTATCTTATTGTAATTTGAATTTGTTTTATTGTCCATTTTTTAGCTTTTCACACTTCTATTGTTTTTTTTAGTTTTTAATTTTTTCACACCCTCCCCTGTATAATATTCCATTCACGCGCTTATTTTTTATATTCGTTAAAGGCTATAGTATAATAGCCGAAAGCTCATATTTTAAAACCTTTTTAACCAGAGAACGTTTTTTTTACCTTTTTTACGAATAATCTCGATTGGCTAGTTTTTATAGCCTCAGAACAAATGGATGTCTCTTGATAGAAATAATGGCCTGTAATTGGGAGCCAAGATTACGTGTGACTCAAGGTAAAAACCCCGTCATAACGGTTGGAGCAGTTGTGGAGTTTCACACTGAAATTCAGAGTGCGCCACAAATAGTTCGTAATCCTCAAAATCCGATGAGTCAAATGGCAAACTTTTGGAGGGATAAACAAGGAGCACTGAGGCGAAGAATTAACGAATACTGCACGAATGGATCGCACAAAGAAGATTTCATGAATGAGGCTTTGACAGAAGGATATGAGTTATGGGTTCGTGTTAAGACCACGGAAGGAAAGAAGGATGCTGAAGACATGGAGAACAAGCTGTTAGAGAAGTACGACTACGCCTAGAACATCCAAAAAAACGGAGAGATCCGACATATACCGCCTTGAGGAAAGAAAAGTTTAGTCATGCGTAGTTTATGATGACGATGCCTTTGTTGTTGACCATGATGCGTAACTTTATAAGTTAGTACTAACTTGTTTCCTTTTTGCTCAAAAATGTTCACTTTCTATTGGACGGGGCTCAGGCCGGTTCTACGCTGGATAATTCAGCTTATGTATTGGTATGTCAATGAATAGAAGAAGAAAGATGGTATATTGTTACCATATTTTATTATATGGGTATGCTCTCTTTTTTAGGTCCAAAACATTGTCACATTATCGTCAAACGTAAACGACGCGATTTTGACATGGTACCACAAATTTAACAGTAAATTGTAAAACCTACGAAGGCTATGCATGCATATTGATGTTGCTGTGGAAGGCCTACATAGAAAACTAGCTTTCCTTCACTTTTCACTGCTTTCCTTCCGTGCCCAATACGGCCAGTTCACGAGTTTTTTACATGAATAAACATCTTTGTTGAAAATAAAGTACATTATGTTCTCAAGAGTGCAGCACAAAATCCATCCCGTAGGTCAAAATTAAGCATTTAAAGTATTTTACAAGTGGTCCCTCGATCACGCAATGGCCGTTTCGGACCTTCATCTTTCAACTGTTCGTCATCGACTAGGTTCTGACCGATGATGAGTGCTAGATCATAATATTCCTTCGCCTTTTCCGGATCACCAAGTTCGGCATGAACGTTACCTAGGTTATTGTAAGTGGCTGCAACGTGGACATGCTCAGATCCAAGTTTATCCAGATTAATGGCCAGTGCAAGATCAAAATAATCTTTAGCTTGCTCTAGTGAATTGGACATGAGATAAACAATACCCAAGTTATTGTATGTAGTTGCCACATCAATATGTTCAGGTCCGAGCTTCCTCGTTCGAATGGCCAGTGCACGATCATAATAATCTTTCGCTTGCTCAAGATTTCCCAATTGTCGAGATACGTTTCCTAGGCTGCCATAAGTAGCTGCGACAAGAATATGATCAGGACCAAATTGTTTTAGACGAATTCTCAGGGCATGATTGTAAAATATCCTTGCCTGCTTTGGATGACCCAATTCACTATGAACGTCTCCTAGATTATTGTAAGTAGTTGCTACATGAACATGCTCATGCTCGCCCATATCGTGAATAATAACCAGTGCAAGTTCATAATAGCTTTTCGCTTTCTCCAGATCTCCTAGGCCAAGGTGGATGTTACCCAAGTTCCCATAAGTAGCTGCGATATCGACATGCTTGCGTCCTTGCTCTTTCAGTCGAATAGATAATTCACATTCAAAGCACTTTTTTGCCAGATGAAACTCGCCAAAGTCTTGGTGAATGGTACCCATGTGAAAATTGGCGATTGCTGCATCAACACCTCTAAAACGCTTATCACATTTGGTGATTTCCAATGCTACATGAAAGTACTTCTTCGCTGTATAAAAGTCCAAATGGTTTTGGGCCACTTGCCCAAGATTTCCAAACATGCCTGGAAGACCCTGAATGTTAAACAATTCCTCTTTGAGGATTTTGGGTAGTTTCTCTGTGCAGAAAAAGTCTTCAATTTTCAAAATGAAGGATTTCAAATGGGGAACAACTTGCTTTCTGCTAGAAATAGAATCATGTTCATCAGAATTTATGCGTGAACTGTCGTTGATAAATTCGTTAAATGACCTTAATGCTCCACTCACGGCTTCAAGGCTCTTCTGCTCTGAAAGCTCGTTCATTAAGGCATTAATTACCTCATGTACAGCATAATGTGTGCGAATATAAACACCACTCTCCTCCTCGTCTAGTAACAGTAACGAGCACCTTTGAATTCTCAAACTTATCACCTCACGTGTCTCCGTTTCTTTATCTACAGCCAGAAGGTAATCGATCGCAAGGTCTAGATGCACGGGTTGCATTGCGCAAAGGGAGAGGAAAGTGAAAACATGACTAAGAATTCTGTCAGATGCCGCCATCGTTTCAACGGCTAACGATATTGCTGTGGTCATGGACTTTTGGTAGCATGGGTTGGTCTCAGCAAGAATAGCCTCAGTGGTACGCCGTTGGCCTTTGCTCAGTTTCTCGAGGTAATCGTTCCAGCCAATCTCTGCAGTTGCTTTGTTACGTCGCACCTGCCTTAGATAGGTTGCAGCGCTTGCGAGGGCAAGTGGCTGATAGTCCAGAGCTTGGGCAACTTCATTCTCCATTCTATCGTCAGAGAATCCAGAGAGGTTGGCTAATAATGAACAAGCATCACGAGGCTCCAAGCCCTCGCTTATAGAGACATGTTCAATAAAAGAGCTTGTGAAAGGGATGGATGCAGTGTCCTGCGTTGTGATTAATACCTGTCCTCGCACCCAACACTCATTTGCGGGAAAATGAGCATGCATAGAAGACATGCTCGTCACGTTGTCGATTATTAGAAGCCAAGAGGAAAAGAGCACCAGTTTTGGAGCTATTAACGTTTTTAGGTTAGCGATTTTCTCGTCCGTGTTAAAATCCCTGCAGTAGAGAGTGTTTGTAATCGCGTATTCCGGGCACTTAAGTTGTCGAGCAAAAGTAACATACGACTCTAGAAGCGCGGGTGAGCTTTCAGCATTTACTGTCATAACAAATGAAGGAATGTCGGGAACTTCTTGGGCTTCATCGAAATATCGCCTGGCCACAAGACCAGCCAACTGGGATTTTCCACTTCCAGGGTTGCCTGATATGTACAAGTAAGTTACAGAGCTTTCATTAGTTTTCTTCAGCCATTTAAGTTTTTGCGTAATTTGAACAACTTCACGGTCACGATTGGCGAGGTCATGTGAGGGTTTTGGAGGGAGAAAACAAAAAGAAGAAATGTCTCTCTGTAACTGATCTTCCAGGACCCGTCGCTGTTCTTCTATCTCTTTCAGTTCCATTTCAAGGTCGTCGATTTTTCTGAGCACATTTCGTAATTCGTCAGTACGAAAACTTGTCTGATTTCTGAGACCTTGAATCTGCGACGTAGAAAGACCAAGAGCTTGAAAAGCAGTTTGCACTTTGCTGATGGCACCCTGAAATTCCACGTCTGTGAGTTGACCTTGTGGCATGTGCGCAAACTGTTCGTTTCGAAAATTTTTGAGATCATGTACATTTGAGTGGACAGTCGTGCTCAGACTGTAGATACAGTCGGAGAAGAGGATGGCGTAAAAAAGCATTGTACAGTCCCATTCAGCTGTATTCCCATTAATCATGGTGGCTAAAAGCCGGGAATTTCTTCTTTGGTTACGTGGGGATTCCCCATTATAAAAGTCCAATCCATTTTTGGGCTCATCTTTCCATTCTCCCTTTGTTGAATTATAGCGGTTGTCCCATTCTTGTTTAAAGACTGTTCGCAGACCATCTGCCAAAACATCAGTGGTAATGTAACAGATTCTGTAGTAATTAAGCTGTTCTGCAGAGTATTCTGTTACGCATGCCATATTTGGCTTGAAATGATCTTTTAATGAGTTCCAGGCCTGTAAATAATAAAAAAAATATAAGTAACTTTCCTCGAAGTTTAACCCTGTTGTGATATCTGGCGCGCATTAAAAAGCGTTTAATGGGACTAACACTTTGTGGGTTACTTGTTTAGTTGTGCCAGGTAACTGAAGAAAACAAAAACGGAAAGGTCAATAACGCTCTTGATAAGAAAGTAACTTTAAGCCAATTTAGATTTCACAAAAAAGTAGTACGTATTATCATATAATCATCATTTGATCCTCCATCAAGCTCATCATGTAAAAGATAAATTTACAGGTCAATAGCGCTGTAGACATGAAAGTAACTTGAAGCCAATTGCAATTTATATTCTACAAAAACAGGTGGTACGTATTATCATGTTTTCAGCATTTCATCCTCCATCAAGTTGATAATCACAGAAATCTTAGAATTATAAGATTCCCTAACCTAGTTACTTTTCACCTTCCAATTTTCATGTACAGATATCATAATATTCTACCGCCTTCTGCTTTCCTGTCTCACATCAAAAAGGTATAGCAGGTACACAGTCACAACACACTTGGCTAAAAAACGGACTTATTATTTCGTAAAAGTCAAAACTAACAATGGTATTTTAAATAACTGATATCAAGGACCCAAAATGTGGAATATCCTTGAGGAAAATATGCTGAATTCTCCTCTCTCTACCTTTAAATTGAAACTAAAAAAAGTTTCATTTACAATTATTAAGGAAACAACATGGAGATATGATTATCCTGTCTTTTTTGTGTGATGTAACATGTATGTGTCGTGTCTACATTTGTGTGATGTCAGTGGTATGTGTAGTATACCGACCCTATAGTTTATATAAACCTAAATGTATACTGGCACTCAGTTTCGTCAACCCCGTGCAGTGATTATTTTGGGTGCCAGTACCCCTCACACATTTAGTGTAGAACAAAATTTATACATATTGTTGTATTAATATGTTTTGGGGTAAATAGTAAGAGTCTGTTGTTGCTGATGTTGCCGTCTGCAGATCAACAAAACTTGATCAAAGTTGTCACTATAATACGGTTCATTAAATAGAGCGTAAAAAATACGGCTGTGCGAAGTGAATTGTAATAACTGTCCCAGGAAACACAAACACGAAGTACTTTTCAGTCCCTCAAAATAGTTTGATCTCGCCCATTAAAATGTAATTTCTTAACAATTTATTGGGTTTATGCAGTAAATGAAGATGATGGCTGCCCTATCGACACACGGAATAATATGTGACAAATAATAAATTTATTTTCAAGAATGCAAATGATTTTCCTCAGACTAGTAAATTTAAACCGTCTTAACGCAACGTCTGTTTATGCTACAAGCTTAGCAGAGGTCAAACGAATTAAGAGGGTAACTTCTTTGAGTGGTAACAAGACTATTCGGTTTTAACAATTGAAATGATGATGCAATTTGACCACCGTAAAGAGTTTCTAAAGCTGATGTTTCGAGCCATAACCCTTCGTCAGAGCGAAATTCAAAAGTCGAAAGACGCCTTTGGCGTATTTTAATTCTTTCTATGTCACGTTGTGCGGGTACCTTTTATAGCTTGTTACTTAACCCAGGCCCCCGGTGGGTAAACCTGCATCCAGGCCCCCGTGAGTCGAGAAAGTTGATCTTTCAATCCAGGAAGACCTCGTGTTTGTTTGTGGAAAAAAAAATTGTTGTCAAGTTTTAAGTGTCGTTTGGCTCTTCAATGCCACATAGTACTTTCAGATGTCACTTTTTGCTCTCAGTTTTTGATATTTTTCCGCTGTATTGGAGAGAAACCATGTCCTCTAACTCCGAGCTTGTGTTCTTGAATGACTACAGTTGTATTTCTCATAAATTGATTTATATCGCTGACCTGTCATGGGAAGGTTAGTTTGCATTCACCACTAAAACAATTTACCTCGTCCAATGGATCGCTGAAAACAACTTTAACTAGAATGCTTCCATTAATAGCTGCGATAAAAAAGACGCACCCTCTTCTTATTTATACGATATTTTCTATACTGGAACTACTTCATAAATTCACGCAGCTGCATGGTTGGATGCATTGAGATTAAATGCAACCAACAAATGGGACTTTATCAGTCTACTAATGCTCCGGCCACTTGATATCATTGTGTTGCTGATTTTCGTTTTGGTACTACATCGATGAAGAATACGTGAAAGAAGCTTATTATTTCACGTGAATGCTCTTTCTGAGAAATCAAAAACGATTATATTAAAAAAAAATATATATATATATATTTTTTTTTTTAGAAAACCGGAAGTAATTTCAACAATATCTAGCCGGTAAATCTTAAAGCGATTATGAACCTAGGTCGACGTCTTGTTCACTCATAGCGGAGCTCGCAGAACGTAGCCCCATAACTATACGAAATAGTAGTAACCCATCAAGCCGAAAAAATTTGGTTGTACGACCGTACGACCTTACGACCGTACGACCTTACGACCCTACGACCGTACGACCGTACAAGGTGCTACTTTTAGCATGCGCGGCCAACTGTGCCACAGGCACTATCTTAGCCATTACGTAATGGAAGGGCGAGGGAGAAGGTAATGCGCAGGCGCGATTGCGTGCGTAACTTGGATACCCCATCAGTGTGCGTCAGATGATGATAAAGTGCGCACACTCGAACGTCGAGCTGCAGTGTAACGTACTGCGGGCATACAGTTAGGCATTGCACGAGGGCTTCACGTGAGCTAGTAGATGAAATTTGCCACCCGCGTTTTGAGAGGGAAATCAAACTGGTCAGGATGTAGTTGAACAGTAATTCTCAGTATTTTGCAATTTCTAAACAACTCGTAAGACAACAATACCTGCAGAGTTTAAGCTTTGTCAACCGGAGGAAATTGTTATAATTCAAGTTCGTAGAGAGGATTTTAATTGAAAATAGGCCGGATATAAAGAGAAAGAGCGACCAAAGAAAGCAACAAGTAAACGGCGTAAAGCGAGTCCAGAAATCGCGCAAGAAAGTTACAAAGGACGCCAAAATAGGCAGAATACGGCGAGAGGAACACGAAAGAGAACAATAAAGGGCATGAGTAAAAAGGCGAGTTTCTAGCGAAGAGCAAAGCGAGAAGGAAATACAAAGTCGCTTCTGAAAACAGACTGAAAAGAGGTCATCAACAAACAGAAGCGAAGTGCAAAGGATCCGCGAAAGTCAACATATTAACAGTTTACTATTCGCGAACCATTTCTGTAACCTACTTGGATATTCTCTCTTGGAGTAATTGAGTCACACCCTCGGAATTTCATTAGTAATTAAGAACGACAAATCCGTATATATAGCACAAGTGAAGCACATTTTAAACTTTCATACGATTGTAAGAAACTATACTTAATTAACTCTCGATAAATTGACCTGACATAACTCGATGATTAATTTATTATTTTGTAGCCCCAAAAACCCGGCTTGTGACTCTGGAGGTACTAAACGTGATATATTTGATACACAAGGCACCCTTCAAGTAGGAAGGTTAGAATAAAATTGCTTTTATGACCATATATTGCACTCGGTTAACATATGTAGATAATTACTTACAAAAATACTCATTATAGCTGTATTCAGAAGCATAGACATGTATACAATATGCTTCTGCTTTATTTTATTGT